TACGTTATCATCTTGCCATATTCTCTTGGTTGCACCCCTAGAAAATATCCATGTTTCGTCTAAATATATAAAATTCGCCCCTTCTTCTTTAAATTTAGAATATTTTCTTTAAAAGTGAATTTTCTTGTGTACGACAGAACTTCTTTCACAAAGGGCCTTTCTATTATCCTCCTTTTAAAATTTGAAACCCAAGTTATGTATCACTTGCCATAGACTTGTTCTGCCAATGTCGTCAAAGTTTCTATCTATTAATTCCGAGAGAATTGTATTTAAGGACACATGTTCCTTGTTGGCCCTCATTCGATAAATGGTATCACGAATTTAAAATTTCTTTCCATCTTGAATATCTTTCGTTTTCAATGATGGGCGATTTTTGGGTTGATCTTCTTTCGGCAGTTCACTATTGTGATTTTGTAATACTCCTCCTAATTTGGTTTGACTAATTCCTAGAGCATCGCATACGCGTTGTTGTACAGACATTACCGAATTTAAAGGACCGCCATTTTCTTTTTCATCCGTAAAATACTTATGTACACTACAAATTAGACTATCTACATCTAACACATTTTATTGCATTTTTAAAATTTCCACTTAATTTACGATATACATACAATGTCAACACTTGCAAAGAATCAATTTGGTGCAATATTTGTAACAAATTTAGTACCTACCCTAATGTTATTTTAATTTAAATCTAACCATTAGGGCAATTTTACCTAATTTCTTGGGAAGAGGTTTATTGGACGTCAATGACTAATTTGCATAATTGTGTTAATCCAAAACCCGCGTAAGTATAGCGAACAGACTGTACCTCTGGTTTGCTGTTCAGGTTTGTAGCCGTCATGAAAACTTCAAATTTTTGTTAAAACAGTCTTCATAGTTAAAACCTACGCCAGTTTTCGGCCATATTGCCATCCAAAACTAGGGGATCTGGCGGTCTAAAATAGTTTTCCATTATCTCGCTTTGAGTTACTACTAGGTAATTGAGTCGCACCTGACACCATGTAAAAGCTATACCAGCAAGCTTTTAAATAAGGCACTAGTATTTATTAAAATACGTTAACTTCAACTTCTGGATAAAACATGAATAACATACAACGTGGATCGAACTACTGACGACTGACAGCTCACTGTCCACTATGGCTAATGTGACGTTGCCGTACTTATAACCATATTATACAGGAGGTCCCTTGTCCTAACATTACAACGTACCTCCACTTCCTCACATACATAAATGCCTCATAATTTCACACTACCGGTTATCAGAAAATACACAATTAGAAGGAGTTACACAGGAACAACCAATTTAACATATCTCGTAATTTATTTTTCAATCCTTTTTCTACGTAAATCAGAAAACAAAAACGTCGAATAATCCGCATAGAAAACTGTATCTCAGTTGCAATTGCTGCAGATAAAAAGTAGATTAATTTCGTTAGCGAAATATCCCGGAAGGCGGACGGCAAATTTGATTATAGTTTACTGAAAAATATGAAATTGTTCATCAAAAAATGTTCCAGCTACTTATAGAAACGTCGCTCCGAATCTGACGCTGCAGCCAGAGCTTAACCCATTCTTCAACTTCAACGTAGCATTAAAAATTCCGCAACAAATTTTTTACCGTACTCGTAGTTTTACAAAAGAAATTGGAAACAGAAGATTGGAAAATTTAAAAATGAAAACGTCGTAAAATAAAACTCCGCGGCCCGGAAAAATTATGTAACTCGCTGGGAAAAGAATCATGACGGGCGTTGAGTGAGACAGAAAGAGAGAGATTATAGAATTTTTGAACTTTCAAGTTTTTTGTTTAAAAAGTATTATGGAATACGTGATTTTCGGAAACGATTCGATGTAAGCTGTTTGGGGAAGTTTTTGGCGAAAATAAAAGCTGGTTTGTAGATTCTGTACACAATGCAGGAATTTTTATTATTGTACACAACACCCAGAGATTAGGTCGTAAATCGAAAATCTGGGAAAGAAGTTTTTTATCAATATTATTGGAATTCATAAACTGCACTCATTTATTGGTAAAAATAAAGACTTAAATATATCGTTACCTTCTAGAAAGACTAACTCAACTTGGTAGAAGTAATTGATATTTTTCGATATGTATTTTGATCTTGGTTTGTCACTTTTTTCAATAGTAATAATAAACTGATTTAATTGAAAAAGAGTATATCGGAGACGTATTTTTTAAATTATTAAGATAAAAATGTTAATATGTGACAGTCTTTCTTGAAAAAATTTTAAGATATTGCAAACGTTATTAAGGTAAAAAATAAACTAATTATTATAAACCCAGATAACGCTACAAAGATAGAAATTCCAAGTTTGAAATCACATGACATTTTGATGTTCAACCTAAAACTTAAACAAGAAAATAAAGATAACTGAAAATGTGAGGATAATCCTTGAAATATTTTAGAAACACTTTTTGTTTTGTGACACTCCTCAGCAAATAACAAAGTTGCTGCCACGGTACAATTGAAATGATTTAGTCTTGCGCGTTAAAGGAGGGTAAATTCAAAAAGTAAAATTTGGTGACAGTAGCCGAGCGTGGTTAATTTTTAAGTTGTGATGATTGTTTTTTTAATCTATTCCGAAACATATCGAGTTGTGTCAGTCTTTTTGAAAAGTAGCGATATGAGTCACACTTTTATAAAGTATTTTCTAATAAAATGTGGCAAATTTCGTTGACCTGCGGCCAATACACGTAATATCATTCAGTAAACGAATTGAATTCGCAAAGTATATCTTTCCGACCCAATGACCCGTCCGGCTTTGACGAAATAATAGGATTTATAATTCGATACTGAGCCTTGTTCGGGTTGAAACCAAACGATTTTAATATAGATAAATGTGTCGGACGTTGCGAATGTGTTGCTGTTGCTATTATCGCTATTATTGCTATTTCTATCATTATAAAGCCGTTTTTCAACACGTATTGATCGGTTTTGTGAATTATAGAGTTGTTGTCGAGCGATGAGAGGTATTTACTGTAGTAGGGCTTTCGATTTAAATCATTATAACTAAATGTTTATATTTAGTGTCCTTAAATTGCGATTGATTTTTGCTTCCATCGCAAAACCCGGAGAATTTTTTTAAAACTAAGTAATACGTAGACCATCAGAGATAGGATTCTCAGTATATACACTGGAAAACAACACTGAAAGTGCTAAAAATTATTAAAACACATACAATTAACGATCTCGCAATTATCATTATTACGGACTACATAAATAATAAGGCTACATTAAATATTAGGCACTTATACACTAAATTAAACAAAAACAATGCTAAAATGCATGTATTTTATTAGCGGACTCTTAGATCTAATAAATTTTTACCTAATAAAAAGTTTGATATACCAGACAATCTTTGTAACCCAAATGAATAAAATAAGTTTTTTATTGAGTCCATTCCACAGACGGAACCATCTGAAGATAATAAAAATTTCTATAAAACTAATAAATTACACAGAAAAAAATTATCTTCTAAATTCAGGAAAAGGTTTACACTTGGAAGATTACATTTGTTTGAAATAAAACGAAGTTTGCTTCAAATAATATTTCTCGATACAATAAGAAATTAAATGTTGAGCGAAGTGTGGGCATAATCTTGAATTTTAAGATTTATAATAATTAATCTGCGAATAAATTATTTCATTTAAGTCTAGAATTGTTAGTTAATCCAACAAAGCTCTTACGTTTATTGTAAGCATGATATGCTCTTAAAACAGACTATCGCGTACTTGATTCAATGTTATAAAATGATTCGATTCAAAGCACTTTAATTTTAGAACAAGAATTAAACAATTCGAATCAAAAACCTATGTACTTCACAAAATATTAGCGAGTACAAATTCACTGCACGGTGTTGCCAGCAGAAATTTATTTTAAAATGCAACCACTGCACTGGTACAGATGCGATACTGATTATTCGGTCAGAAACACAACGCATTTATAGAGAATCTGGCAAATTGGTATTTTCTAACAAGTTTGCGTCGTATCGTTAAGCCGTGTACACACCGAGATTCCAACGCAAACCAAGGCACATGTGCTCAGCGCTGGTGTGGGTGTGTATGGCGCAGCAAACAGAGCCCAACCGATTCCAAGCTTAACGTTGGCGTTCAGTTGCGTTCGCTCCTCGAACGGTACATCAAAGGAATATTTGATTTGGTCTGGACGGGATTTGTTGCTCGCTTGGTAGATATTTTGTTCGTGTTTTTTTCCTTGAGTTGCTTTTGGCATTTTGATGACATTTTTAGTTCAGCCGCGTACTGGTGAGCATATATTTGTGTTTTGTAAAAAAAATGCAGTGGACTGAAGATTTATGTTTATAACTTGCTATAGATAAAATCCCACATTATGGAACTGAACTGATAAACGTTATAAGCTCTCAAAGTTTAAAATAGATTTAAGGAAAAATACTGCACAATAATTCAAATGTGAAAAAGGTGAAGTTAAAAGGAAAATAGAAAGCTTGTTAACATCGTATCGTCGTAAATTGCGACGTGAAGGGGCAGTGCGTTCCGGAATGGGTACCCAGGATGTGTATCACTCAAAATTGTTTGTGTTTAAAGCCATTTTGCACCAAACTGATCAAGTGGTCGAACCTTCCCAAACGCTGTCGAACCCAAATCAAATTTTTGGTGTGAACGTGCTCATTCCAATCGCTTCCAACGCCAAATCCCAACGGGCAAGATGGTTGGGTTGGGATGCTCGGCGTTGGAATCTGGTCTGCACGCGGCTTAAGGGTTGCGTTTTGCTTTTAGTTAGAAATTCTATGTGATTCAATTAATAACTGTAAGAATAAATTAAATTGAAATGGAAGATTGGTTAGATGGATGCGGCCTCAGCGACCTGATACCAATATATAAAGTAAGTATGTTTAATTTAAGAACCATGTTTAATTTACAGATTACAAAAGTCAGTTTCTTTATAAAATAACTTTGAACTCCAACGTAAAAGAATAATATATAAAAAGTATATAAATGGAGTTTACGAAGGGTATTTCTTCATCTGTGCTTTTTCTGCTGCTTTTGCGACTTTTCCGGCGCTGGGGTCCTTGAAGGCGACAGACTTGATGACACCTATGGCTACAGTCTGCCTCATGTCACAAACGGCAAAACGTCCTAGAGGTGGAAATTCTGAGAATGATTCTACACACAATGGCTTGTTGGGTACCAAGTTGATGATGGCAGCATCTCCAGATTTGATGGCTTTGGGATTTTCTTCGGTTGGCTTTCCAGAACGACGGTCGACCTTTTGTTTAATTTCAGTGAATTTGTAGGTAATGTGGGCTGTGTGACAATCTAGTACTGGGGTGTAACCGTTTGAGATTTATCCAGGGTGGTTGAGGACAATAACCTAAGCGGTGAAGTCTGAAGATACCTTAAATGGGTTGTTTTTGGAGTCTCCTGCGACGTAACCACGACGCAATTCTTTGATAGATCCGTGTTTTACGTTGTAACCAACGTTGTCTTCAGTAGTAATATTAGCTGGGACAAAAACGACTACCATACTGGGTTTTAATGCACCAGTCTCAACACGGCCTACAGGTACTGTTCCAACACTACCAGTGTTATAAACATCCTGAAATGGAAGATGTAGATGTTTCTCAGTTGAACGAAAAGGTGGGAGGATGGCATACAAAGCTTCAATTAAACATTTACCATCAGCCTTTCCTTCTTTACGTTCAACAGCCCATTCCTTGAACCATGGCATCTTCTTAGATGGTTCCAACATGTTGTCTCCATGCCAACCAGAAATTGGGACGAAAGCAATAGCGGCAGGGTTGTAACTAGTCTTTTTGATTTAGTTCACTTCTAGTTAGGTGGTTATATTATATAAAAGTAAATTTATAATTATTATAAGAACACGAAACAAACTGGAATAGAAGTAAAAAAAATATATGATGCTAGATGACGAATTTTTGGAAAGACGACTCCTGCCTTGCTAAGACAAGAGGTTGTATCTATACTCCCATTTTTAATAAATTTATTTTATTATGACACCAAATAATAAAAGCCCATTTGCATTGGAAAATATTTACTATAATTATAAGAAAAGGTTAGTAAAATATGCAAAACTTATTTGCGAAGTCTAAAAGGTCGTAATTATCTACCTACCTAAATGTGGGTAAAAATATTCATTTTGTAGATACGACCTCTTATCTCAGCAGGACAAACTTTTATGTTTCATTTAGATTTTGTAGTTATAAAATATTTTTTTTTAATTATAGGTGGGACACCTTAGAGAACAGGGGAGTTTGGTACATTAACTAAAAACAATTTAAAAAAATGTTTTTAGGTGGATAGGTACTAGTGAGAACCCTATTAAAAAGCAAGAACAACCTGTTTTTATTTCAAGAATATTAATTTCTTCAATGAAACTATCCTATAATTCAACCAAAATTAATATATTTATGTCAAAGTCAATATTCATATTATTATTGTAACAAATTTAGTTGTATTGGTTTTAAGAACAAGGTATTATTGAATATAAATAAAGTAAATTTAAAAAAAGTGTAAGACAATTTTAGCAATAGATACTCTTAATTTAATTAGAGTTATTTTGGTTAGGGCAAGTTGGTTTTAATCTTAAAGCGAGGCTTGTTAGCTTTTGTGGAACAAGTATTACCAGAATTTCGAATCAAGACGAGTTTTATTTGCGGATATGCAAACACAACAAAGCATTGAAATTAGACCATTCATCTTGAATATAGTACTTTTTTTTCTGTGTACAGAAAAAAGTAGTTATTAAGTTGCACTGGATCTTTAAAACGTTTGGGAATTATAATGCTCTCACTATTTTTGATATTAAATGAATTGTTTTCCAAAGCTCTTTAGAGTCTCTATCATTTAAATGATGTTCTAGATAAGCGCATTTTTCTTTTCTGACACTCTGGTAACGGTGTTCCTGATATCTTTACAAGAAATATAATCAACAATATTTTTTGTGCTTTTATATTTCGTTAATGCCCTGCCTCTTAATTTCATTATTTCTCTTATTGTTGGTGTCAGCCACGGGGCGAATGGTTTAGTTACTTTAGAGTTGATATAAGGTCCATGCATATCAAATAATTCAAGAATATATTTATTAACTAACAAAATTTTTGTTTCAATATTGTTTTCATATATGATATTGAGAAACGGTATATTTGTAAGGTCTCTTTGAAAATGTTCAAAGGAAAAAATTTTGAAATTTTTATGTCTGACGATTTGGGGTGCTTTTTTTATAGTTTTTAAATTTATTTCGCAGAACACACCTCGGTGATCAGATAAGGTATGATCTATAACACCGGAACATCTAATAAGGTCAGGGTAGCTATTCACTAAGTCATGGGAGCGCTCCCATGGGAGTGTTCCCATATATTTTTTTCTCTTACTCTTAGGTGGGTATATCGTGTTTACTCCGACCTAACTATGCATGTACCTGGGCTAAAAGTGAGTAAGCACGATATACCCACCTAAGAGTAAGAGAGCAAAATATATGGGAACACACCCATGGGAGCGCTCCCATGACTTAGTGAATAGCTATCCAGGTGTGTTTGCAGAAATTATATCTAGCAATCTTTGGGATGTTCGAGTTATGCGTGTAGTTCTTTGATTAATTGGGTAAAATTATATGATTCTAAACAATCTGCATTTATATTCTCATAAAGTTGGTCCGTTTATGTCTTTCATTATAAGTATGTGGTCATATTGAGGCACTATGAAAGAAATAACATTGTCCGAATAATTTGCAAAATTATTTAAGTTACATGCAGTTGTGTGATAAATTACGCCTAATAAAATAGTATGCTTACCAATTTTTAGACAAACCCGGAGATTTTCCAGATATGAAGCCGTTTAAAACTATTTCATAACTAATTGCATCTTCTATGTATAACGCAACTCCGCCACCAACACAGTCGACTTGTAAGATTTAATTATACTAAAATGTTCTTTTACATAACATTTGGACTATCCAACGTAAAGAAATCCTTTATTTAGAATGTCATTAAAGGTGTTTGCAACTGTACATACAAATTGTTTTTAAACTTCATTTAAGTAATGAATTTGATAGTGTCGTCAGAACTATCCAGGTTATTTGCCGTGATTAGATTTGTTAGGAAATCCAGGTCTTCGGCAGTTGCAGGGTCAACAATATAAGCCATTGTGGATTAATTTTTTTGGGTACCGTAACATTGTATGAATTTCCAAGCTTCTTGTTTATGAAATTTTTTATTTTGCCTAAAGAATCTTCGTTACTACAATTTATAATTAATCCATTTTTAACTCGTTTAGTTCCAAGAACAAATGCATTTGCAGCGCAAGGATTTACTTTTGATATAACTTCTGTTTGTGCTTTTGCGTATGTTTTTTCTGGCTCATTAGTAGCGGACAAAAAAGTGTTTGTAGTTGGCAAAACATGAACTGGTAAACTCGTTTTCGATTTTAGGATATTATTTGTGAATTCTAAATCGGATACACATTTTTCTAAAATGCTTTTTCCTGTGTCTAAACAATCTATTTCTTTACTAAGCAGTTGTTCATTTAAACTCGATTTGCTAGAAGATGAGTTGCATTAAAATTTGATTTTTTCATGACATACACGGCACTTGATATTATTTTTGTCGATATTTACTACTCTGTTGATAACATCTAAACATTTTACATGAATTACAACTTCACATGTTGGGCTTGAACATTTTATATCACTTAAAGCAGTAAATTTAGCACAGAAACGTCACTTTTTGTCAGAAGGCTCTGTATTCTGACTGCCCGACATTGCGAACTAGACTCAAATAGAGTTTTATATCAAATGCTTGTATGTAATAAATATGCCTCAATACCTATTGGTTATTCGACCATAGTCTGTTTAATAACCTGGAGGAACATTTGGAATTTAAGTTGGTAATTATATAGACGTTTCATTGATCAGATTGCAGTCAGTTTCACGGATCACTTTTTAGCATGATAGAGAAATTTTAAAGAAAACTTTAACATTTACTATGGAGAGTATGTCGCTATCATGTTTTCTCTATCTTAGAACTCAATCGGAAATACCCAAGTTTATATTTGTCTACTCCATTTTTAAGACTCACCGTATATTATCAAAAGTGTAAAATATGTTTGTTTTATATGTTTCGTCCATCTGCATTCGTTATATTTTGAAGCACGTCCTGTTACGATCCCGTCCAAATTTTAATTAAATTTAAAATTAGTTGCAGAAAGTTTAAGTTTCCAGTGAAAACAAAGTGCATCGCCGATGATGGCTCTTGATATAACAAAACGCCGGAGAGCAGTCGCTCTAAAACAATTTATTCCATCTGGGGGATATTTAATTGGACAGTTTATATCCGAACTTTCAGTCCGCATAGTTTTGTTTTTGAGGGGTTTAAATTACCCAGAGCGGTCTGTTTAAAAGAGAAACAAAACGTCGCGACGGCTTTTTGGTCGTCTGCATTATTAGATTTGCAGAAATCATGATAGAGGGTACGAAATAATCTTTTATTAATTACTAGTTAGTGATATGTCGCTAGATTGTAAATTTCATTGTTTTTACACTTGTTTCTTTATAATATTTTTAATTACAAGAGCAAATTTCTACCTAGTAGACAAAAAAGTAATTATCATATCCCATTTTGTAAGTATAAATTGCCAATTAACTCTCCGAAAGTCCTGGGTTTACAGGTATATAATCATTTTACCCTAATTCGCAAAAGACGTAAGTTCATAACAACAAAATTTATGTACCAGTTTAAATGTTTTTATTTTACCTATCAACTTTAAATTGTTAACATGTTTACTTATTTAATTACTAATTTTAATTTTTTTTTGACTATTTAGACATTTAAACGGACTTAGTGGATTTACAATACGTTCTATATTTTAAAAACACATAATAAATGAAAAGCGATAAAAAATATATTTATTTATAAGTGTAGGAACATACAAAAAATTAAAAATTATTTGTAAGTAAGATTATCATAAAATGAGTGATAGTTCCAGTCTAAACTTTTCTTAAGTGTTTGGAGTTCCCATTTATCTTTTTTTACAGGTAGAGGTTTTTTATAAAGTTGCGTTATGGAGTGATAGGGATTTATTGGAACTTGGGTCTGCTTCCTTTTTTTCAAATAAGGTATAATGGTCTGTATGTGTTATTTTGAAATAAATGTTTCCATCAGGACAATACTTTAGATATTTTAAGTCGGTAACAATCGGTTCTCCAACCTTACGCCTTTGGAAACATGTTTTAGGGGAGACTAGTGTCGAAAGTAACAGGTGTCAAATGTAACAAATCCTATCACAGTGATATTTTGTGCGAACTCGAGTAACCGCTTAATTGAGCACATTGGCAATGCTGTTATCTTCATCTGTGGTAAATTTGGCGCGTAGAGCATGTGTAGTTTGGGTGTGTCGTTTGTTTTTATAACATTAATGCAAAAGTGAAAATCAATTTTCCTTTTATTTTGTTTATCAGACTGTTACAGTTAGAAAGACTGCTATTTAAGGTAAGTGTCCAAATAAAGGGTTAAGTAAGCTGTATAAATGTAGTTATTAAGTTGTAAGGTTATGTTTTCAACTTATCTTAATTTATCAGTTGTAACATACTAAATGGTGTCATTTGTAACATGTTACAATTGACACCCTACAATAATTTTCAGATATTACAACTACCCTGTCATATTTATTATTTTTTTTTCAGATATTATAAATATGGTGAAACCACGCCCACGAAAAACTGAAAGAGGCACAATT